TATATATATATATATATACACACACACACACACACACATAAAAACCCTACATACTGGATGAAAATATCATTAATTTATTATTACTTAAAAATAAAATCAACTCCAATTCTAAACTAAACATGTAAAACTGATATCAAATTAAAGAATCTAATTATTTTCTACATTCAATATAATCCATTACATAATAAGTAAACAAACTAAGCTAAAATAGTCAAAATAGGTTCACAATGTAAACTAGCATGAATAAATTGGTTTTTCTCAATCAAAAAATAACCCATGCTAATTTTTCCCCATCAGTATCTTTTGGGAATAGAGCTGTACAATTATTGGAATTTGCTAACTGTTTAATCAATGGAGCCTGCAATTGATTACATTCAACTAATCAAATATTACATCATTGAAGGAATAAAAAACAAAAAACTTCCAATGCTTACAATTGGGTTTCAACACCTGTAATGGACAGAGCAAAGATTGCCTAATATGCAACTTTTTGCTATACAACAAACAAACATAATGGTATTTTTTTTTTAATTACTTGGATGATTGGAATAATCAAAAACAGTAATACTCAGACACCCTACTTTTCACTAACTGATTATTTTCATGAGTCAAAAATTTATTAAGTCAAACTCTGATTAATCAAAATAATGACAAATGATGAAGGCATAATTTCAATTACGGGATGTTTTGAATAATCAAAAAACTAATCTCAATTAGTTTATTATTTCCCCAACAATAATAAAATAATTTATGTGACACTAATCAACATGATCAATACTCATATGAAATCAATTTAATTGCCTAGCTCTATTAGAGAAAGAGAACAAACTACTCAAAATAATTTAAGGCTCCTTGTATCATCTTGACAAGTTAAACATAAATATATCACCAGTTTAAAAGTTACCACAAAAGTGTAATGTATTTATATTGTATCTTTATGGACCCATGCAATGAAAGTTAACATTTTTCTTACCTGAAAATACATTTCTGATAGATACTCATCTCCACATACAGAATAGCTTAATTCCTTTGTGCATCTACCTATGAGATTTGCATGCCACTAGCCTTAAGCTACTACCCACCTAAAAGATACACGTTTAATGTGATCTGAGCTAGTGCATGATGCCATCATCATGCAACGATAGCCTCCACCAATAAATAAGAGAGCAAAACAACTTCCTTTCAAACTTACCCTAAAGACTTGTGTTCGAATTAACTTCATTCTTTGACAAAGTAGGAAGAAAGCACATTGGAAGTAAGGAGGATGGGTGGGAAGGTATGTGGAGGTGTCTATTGAAAATAAACTTTCAGGTAAGGAAAATGTTAACTTCTGAGATGATACCCCATCTCTTCACACATGATAGCTAGAATTCCACCTTGAATTTGAGGAGGGGCCAGTGCAATCATTAAACCTAGATGAGCTCCCTTCAGAGAACACTAAAGGGGAAAGCCCATGGAATACCCATCTGTCAGCCAAAAATACAGATCAAAGGCTGGTGAAGAGAGACAAGTGGGCTCCAACAGAGCCAGATCTGATAAAGTAATCCTCAACAAGATGCAAGATGACCTTGACATCAGGAAGTGGAAGGACAGGAAGAAGGAGGCTGTGAAGCTGGAATGAGAAGGGGAGACATGAATTCAGCAGGACTAGGAGCAGAAACAGAAAGGTGAGTTTGAGAGACACAAGAAAACAAAGAAGACAATAAGGACTGATGCTAGGCTGCCTCATCTCATGTCTCCAGTGTGTCTGGAACACCCCTGAAGACCTCCAGGCTAAGAAAAAGAGCCAGACAAAGATCATGGAGATAAGCATGAAGGAGGCATACATGAGATAGGGGAACATTCTATTCCAACTAGTCTCTACAGGAGAGGAACCAAGTAAGAAGGAACAGAGCAGAAAAATAATTATGAGCCAATGTGGTGAAAAGAAGAGAACAAAAATAAGATGAAGTCACGAGAGGTAATGCAGGAGGAAAGTAAAAAAAGAAAAAGAGATGAAGATATGAAAATTGGGCACTAGAAAGAGAAAATAAGGGGTCCACCTTCCACAGCAGGTAAGAGAGATTCCAAAGACTGAAATGAGGAATGGAAATTAAGAATGATTGTAAAACAAGACAAAAGAGTCAAGTACATGAAGAGGACGAGGCATGTCAGAATGGGTGTGCAGTGATTTGAGAAACGAGTCCACAAAAACCCTAACATCAGGCTAAGGAGAAAGAAAGTAATCCTGAGTATTAATTTCATGTAGTAAAGCATGGGAGGAATAAAAAACACAAAAGAGAGAGAAAGAAAGAGCATATCTGTGAAATGTCTAGGAAGAGATTGGAAGGGTGAGGATTTTCCTCCACAGATAAAGCTCTGCCAAAACAAACCCTAATGTCAAAATCATAAATCATACTGGTCATGTTCAAATTGAGGGAGAGGAATATTGGCCAAATGGAGGAGAGGAGGAGGCCAAGTGTGAATGAAGGAATACACAACATGTTGAACAACAGCTGTCATGTCCTCCAATGACAAAAAGCCTCCAGTAGCCACAGTTCCCATGAATCGCCACTATCATGGAATAAAGTAAGAGTTACCATCACTTGAGAATTCATAATGGTGGATAACTGCCAAGTATTTTTTTTTCCCAAATAAAATTAAAGAAACCACACAAGTCATGTGAAACATGAACATTAAACCAGGTAGACTCGAAAAAAAAAATTAACTCAGTTGTAACCTATCCCAAATCTCAAGTAAATAATTGATAATTTTGGAACACATCCATTATGGACAAAACAGAGGAAAGGAATGAAGTTAATTCATGTGCAAGTTCTTAGGGGAGCTACTATGCAAGGAGGTTGTGTCCCCCTCCTCTTGGTGGAGAGCTATCATCACATGATAATGACATCATGCACTAGTGCAGTTCACGTTAAACTCACAGGCAGAAGTGTAAAGGAATCGAACTATTCTGTGTATAGGGGTGAGGTATCATCTGAGAAAAGTATATTGATTGAAGTAAAATCTTCCTAGGTGTACTTGCTACAAACGTTTTTACACTAGATTTGCAACTACTTAAGAAATTAGGTTATTAGTATAATCAGGCAATGTGATAATCTGTTCAAAACTAAAATGGTTTGAGTCAGAAGATTATATGCATATAGATGTTACTTTGAAAAAACTTCAGTTAAAAGCAATTGCATTGGTATTAAACTTAAGTTTCCTCTATATAAGATTGCTCTTCTGATTTGTAGAGGGTCGGCTATTCAAAGACTATAGTTTTGAAAATGCTATATATAGTTTTTTTTCTAATTTATTAAGTTCAACTTAGCATTGTTTTCACTTGCTACAAAAAGGTCTCACATACTCATAATACCATTATATTATGGTAAATTACATAGCAATCTACAAATTTCTCGTACAATAACTATACACTTTTCCACAAAATGTATTGTACAAAATAAAACACTGAAAATTATTTCCATTTCCAGTCATCTTGAATATAAGGGTGCAGAACTGGATAAAGAAATCACTTGCACTTATTTGCACAATTTAGGTGCAACAGTAATAGATCTCCGATAATCACAATGGTCAGATGACATGAGATAATGTTCATCATTTTTTCAAATATGAAACAGGAATCATAACACCCATTACAACCAGTTTTGTGCTTGTGATAATTTTTATAATTGTGACCAGCCCTCATCATCCAATCTCTTTTGGAGTTTAATATCCTGTTATTAGTTTTGAATTTACAGAAAATGAAATTACACTTACTGAAACATGCATTATTTTCAGTTTGAAAAGCCATGTTTTTACAAGAAATCAAATATGTTAAAAACTGTGTGTCCAGGCATAGAACAGCAGTCAGTAATCAGCCATTTTCTAAGCAAAGCAACCTAAAAGTCTTCTCCATGAATTAATGCCTATTTTTTTTTTTTCAAAATCTCATTTTTGTATTATTTGCTTGGAATATGAGGTAATAATATCAGTTATCATTATAACAACTTATGGGTGACAGCAAAGAAGAACATGTACTACTACGTCAACCACACTACATGCTAGGTATGGTTTGGAATATTTTGAATTTTGGTAAAGCTACACAAGGGTTATCTATGCTAGCCATCCCTAATTTAGCAATGATAGACTAAAAGGAAGGCAACTAATCAACACCACTTACCACCAACTCTTGGGCTACTCTTTTATCAATGAACAGCAAGATTGACCATCACATTATAGCACCCCCCCACAGCTGAAAGGGTGAGCATGTTTGGTGACACGGATTCAAACCCTCAACCTGCAGATTGAGAGCTGAGCACCATAACCACCAGACCTGCTAGGTATGAGAACAAATGATCAATAAATAATAAGCAACAGATCTACTTCATAAATTCTGTTCTTGATGTAACCAGAATGTACCGACATTCAACATAGTCATCAACCATGTATAGACAGTACAAAGATGGATGCAAGGTGACAATTTCAAAAAACAAATGCACACCCAATTCATTAATATAACTTGATGTATAAAGAATGGAAATAAAACATTATGCTTCCCATGCATAGTAATAAACTTGAAGTAACTTCAGATGGCTATAAGAACGATAACAGAACATCCCTACATACTGATGACTTAATTTTGATGACTCAAAAAAAAAAGAAAAAATTACCATAATGGATGAAAAGAAGTAAAGTCACACTTTTTTCAGACCTGAAAGTCGATCTATTCTCAGCCTCTAGCATTTTGGTACTTGCTGTGAAATGATGCTGGAATAGAAGCACAAGTAAGATAGCAATATTGTGTATCAAACAAAATACCATAAAGGATTTAAGCAGCATTACCCTGAATCTGTTCAGTGATTGACATTGAGCTGAGTGATTAATGCTATTTGCTAATCAGTTAACCAACATGCTCCTTAATTGATTACATTTAATTAATTGATTGGTATGTACCCCTGCCAACACCCCCACATACAATCAAATAAAAGGGTGTTCTAGTTTCTTAACTTTTTCAATCACTGCATAATTCTAGTAGGGTAATCTTTCATTTTCATTCAACTTGTTTTGATTTTTTCAAAGAAATATTCATACTCTTCATTTTGAAATATAGTCCTCTTTCAAAGACCACCAATGGAATTTTTTTGTCTAAATATATATATATATATATATATTTGTTTATTTATTTTGCCATACATACATTTTTCAAGATAATCTGGACAATTAATGTCAACCAAATACAAAGTGGTCATTATGTTTTGTTTCCTAAATATGCAATAATCCCAAATGTAAATCAAATAAAAACTGCTAATTAATTATTGAAAACATGCTATATTATCACCAACAAAGGTAATGTTTTTATTTAAAACATATCATGATTGCAATTATACACATCTAAGTAGCTAGTTAGCTAAACAGATAATTTATGTTTTTAGAATTGGATGAACATAAAAATAATTTCCAATGAATATTTAAGTTATCAGAATATTTTGCAGTTGCCTACCATACCCACTAAACAGTAAACTTATCTGATGATAATTCTATGTAGTGAATGTAATTTTAAAAACCTCATGCTCACAAACATTGCAACTTAATAAAATTATGGTATATCCATTAAAAGGTAAAAAATATAATTCTAAACAAAGAACTAAGCATCAACAAGATACCTTCAGTCATGTGACTGTTTCATACTGTGTGTGTGTGTGTGTGTGTGTGTGTGTGTGTGTGTGTGTGTGTGTGTGTGT